AAAATCTGCGATCATTGCTCATCAAATTTGCCCATCATACAGAGTTATATATTTAGTCGGTCAGCCACCCAGCTACTTGGCATGACTTTGATCACATGGAAGAGATGCAAAGCCAGGAGGCAATTCAGAGTAAGAAAGCCTCAAGGAGATAGTTAAGTTGAATGTGGATGGCCCAGGAAGTACAGTTATTGAATGCACACCAGCAATGGACCACAACCTCACCAAAGCACAGCAGAGAAAGTGTGCAGTGATCCAAAGCTGCAGTTGCAAAGCACCTTCTAGTTACATCTACCAAAAGTCCAAGCCAAGACCCAGGGAGGTGGTCTAATGAGAAAGGTATTGATCCAAGCTAAAGACTGGATGCAGAGGTCAGACAGAAGGGGCCACCAGGGAAATACAAAGCTTAGCTAAACCAACACTGCAAGTGCTGTTACTGATGTACAAGTTCACACTGACAACAGCTGAGGCCATGGAGAGGAGAGGTACTGTTATCAAAGAGGTTTAGATGTGTTAACCTCTGCAGCTCAGAGATACCAGGTGACCAAAGCAAGGTAAGCACTTCATTGCAGAACTGCAATGACAAGGTGGGGCTAGACGTTGGCACTGAAGCATAATCAGCTACAACAGCAGTCCAAGAGTCCAGATTACATCATAAGAACAATGTTGGAGCTGTATACATGGGAGTTGGCTGCATTCCATAACCAAGTTGGAGCAAAGCCAAGTCAAGACAAGAGGAGGTAGATGATGGAGCGGGAGATCTGGAACATGGTGGGAAAAGGAATGCTAGCTTGTTGTTAAAGTTCATCCTGTGTGTCTACGGCATCGCCTGGCTGCTAAAAGAAGATCCAAGCTGCATTCATTGTGGAGAGGATAGCGAATTACATCTTAGAGATCTAAAATCCCTTGAAGCAACCGTGGGGTACACGATGCTTGCAGAAAGGTGGACACAATGCTTAAGATGCTCAAGATCGTAGGTGAGGAACACAGGAAGATCTGAAGATGACGGTGAAACAATAGGAGGAGAGGGCATCAAATTGACTGTGGTTGAAGATGGAAGAGCTGTAGAAGTGGTACCTGGTTCCAGTTGGGCTGCATCACCGTAATTGGTGTATCCTTCAGAAGACTATATGACAGCAGCAGAACATCCATTGAAGAAGGGTTCTTACCTGAAGATGAGCCTGGGTCCAGCTATGATGTCAAGCTTTATGTAAGCCAAGAGTGAAAACGTCTGGTACTGATGCTACACTTGGTGCGGACAACTTAAAGCAGTATCGACCTTTAGAAGTATAGCAACACAACGTTTTGATGATCTGCTTCACTACGGCACAATCACCCCACACAGTCCCCAATTAGGGAAAAATCACGATGGTATCAGAAGGGTGTTGTGGTAGTTTTGAATGCGTGATGTGCCTTTCATACTGAACCAGTGTTTAAACACAAGGCTGTAAACTCTAATTAAAAGAGAGCAGTTCTTACAGTGCAAGCTTTACTGATCCGGACAACACTAATGAAAGCATTAAGACCACATTTGCCCTGACTAATTTATTCATCATGGTTTCAGATTTAATTTATTCATAGAAATGCAACAGTGAGCACTTGGCCAGCAGATGTCGCTATATCTGATTGTCTCAAATACTTTGAGGAGCTTTCCCGCTAAAAGTAGCTGAGGGCTCATGGCTGTCCCACTTTTGAAATGACAAGTGCATGAGGGCCCTGATGCAGACTTTCATGTCACTATGCACCCTTTCTTTGAGTCCGCATTCCTTCAGAATTTTCTGAGTGACTTATTCGGTTCATAGCAAAAATTGGTGACGTATAAACTTGTTGTCCTGCCCCCCACATATGTACACAAACTAAGCATGGATGGTGCAGGGAAGAAATCCACTAGGAAGTTTATCTGTAAGTGACAGCATCTGGCTGCTCGCTGTTGTGGATATTTATTGCAAGTTTGCAGAGTTGTTTGTATTTTCAGTCAAACATCTGCGCAGGACTTACAGATGTTCATGGCTTGGCGGACTTTTTTGTAATTTGCTGAAGTGCATAAACACTGTAATGTCTCAAACTGGTTAGGAACAGGAGCAACTGTCAAATACATACAAGAGAGTTCAGTTTCTGCCTTTTTTCTTTTTCTTTTATTGCATTGTTTCCAGGCAACATGTGCCATCACATTAAGGGTCTCGTTCCTCCTTTATATGCAACTTTAAGCCCTTGTGAACTGACACATTCAAGCACTACAGCTGCACACATGGGTGACATCAGTTAAGTATGTGAGAGTTTAGCGATTGGGCCTCCGGGTGAAGATTGGGGCTGCGTTCAAAATCGCATACTTTGTCTTTTTACTTTCAGTGCATACAACAGCTGTCCTTACAGTATGCATACAGTCACGACGTACGACTTTGTCACAATATTGCGCCTTAAGCTTCTTGCTCATATATCCGTTGCAGTCTGTAGTGCAAAGTGAGATGTCGTCCGTCTGTGCATTCTCAGCTTCTCAAGCTTGTTTATACTCGCATTGAACTGTGATGTATGTGACGTATCTGCGCAGAGGACTGTGGGTCAGAATGGCCAGAATAGCATGCTGGCTGACATGCTGTAAAATCTGACCAGATGTAGTAGGACATTGTGGTATTTTTGGCATACTAAATTTGACATACTATGCATTGGGACATACTAAATCTTTTTCTGGCATACTGTATAGTGGTTGTATGGATATTGGAATGCACCAAGGGACTGGGCCCAAGCGATTCAATGCTTCAGACAGCGATTCCCACATTACTACTATATTATTGTCTGTGTCTCTGGATGATCTAAATAAAATCTGAAAAAATAACCCTAATGAGTAATGTCGTTAGGGTTCACTCAGTTTGGACTTGGAGACCTTTTAACTGAAAGTCTTTTTTTTTTTTTACAAACTGTGGGTGTGGAAAAGGATAAACATTTACCAGACATCGAGGCTTTAATGAAAACACTCCATTATGTTGTACGATAGGGAATGAAGTATTTTCATAGTCTGGCAGATACTGTGCAAAAATACAAATGCATGTTTTCAAGTTCTATCCATTCATTGAACATAGGAGAATAAATATTTGATGTTCACAAACAAGGCATCTCTATAACGGAATGGATGCAATAAAAAAAAACAATGACACACTATATTGGAAATGATAATGGGCAGATGGAGAGAGGGGTCATAGACCGGAAATCACAAGTCAGTGATGAGTCACGCGGAGTTAATGAGGTTGTTGATGCTGGTGTGTGAATTTGTTGTCCCACTCTTCCTTCAGGACGTGATGAAGATGACGTTTTGCTGGACAGGATCAGGTTGTTGGACACGTTCATCCATCGCATCACGCGGCAGATTGTTTGTTGTACTACTCTGTCTGAAATGATTTCTTGGACCACAAAGTGAAGTTGTGAACATTCAAGTACCTGGCTATGAGTCTAATTTACACACCAACATCCGGCAGGCAAACAGCTGGTCCTCGTCTTTTTTATGTCACCTTTGTGTCTTTTGAACAAAGCTGCATTTTATAACATTTTGAGGAGTGTTTGCGAACTGGTCGTACTATCTGATCATTGTCCTGAAAAGCAATTAACTCAGTATGAAGAATTTGTCAACTGTTGAACAACTCATAAACCTTTGGTGCCTAGAGTTAACATGTACAATAGAAATGAGATGTTTAACTTTTTCTCTGACGCAGAACAAAAGAGCATATGGCCTTTATAAAACTGTAGCGTCTAGCTTCTTTATTCCACTGGTTAGGTTGGTCTCTACTATTAAAAACAACTCTGTCCTAGTATGTATTGTAGTTGGGTAGATGGTGTTCTATGTATGGTTTTTGTAGGGTTTGAAGCTTGGCATGTAGATTGCTGGGGTAGCTTGACCTCAGTATTAGTCTTGTTGGGTTACTTTCATTGTGTTGTTTCAAAACTTCATTTTACGCAACAAACTTATCATATTTACAGATTGCGGACAGTGTGCAAATAATTAGTTTTTTTCAAGAAATTGTTTTTTGAGACCCACTTTAAGGTTCCCTTAACCTGCTTATGATTTTAAATCATCCACTATACCCTATGTAGTGCACTATATAGGATGTTCGCCATGTTGTAGTGCTGTCCGAATGTTACAAATGTTACACCCTATATAATGCACTCAAAATATCCCACAATGCACCGTGAAAAGTAGTGTTCAGCCGATGGTCACAATATGGACCATCATGCATTGCATGAAAGGAAAACGCAAAGGAGATGAACGAGAGCGCGAAAACTTGTCATTAAAAGTTAAGTAATTCCCCGTTTATGTTAAATTGAATTTTATTTTACCTGTTTCTTAGCTATGCAATAAACTGTGAATTTGATGTGTTTGTATGCTGCTATGGGACAAATCGCAGCTAGCGAGCGATGTAAACAATAGCTTGAGTAATGTCTGAAATGTTACTTTGCCGAAGTGCTCACGATATAGTTCACTCTATAGTGGTCCTTTTACAGTGAGGAGGGAGTGAGTGGATGATTTTGAACACAATCACTGTAATGCATTTAGTTGCAGCCACCCTGCCTTTCTCCCATCATCCTCTGCGCTCCTCAGGCTTAATTATCTGGACCAGGTGTGTTCAGCCAATCAAGAGCTGATTTGCCGGGCCAAGCAGGAAGAGGTGGGAAATTAGATTTAGTGTTCTGGCTCTTCAGGACTAGATAAAGACTCACTGCTTCAACTTGTGCTAATTTTAATGTCTCCATCTTCATTTTAACACTGTTAGCAACTCAGAAATATGAAGGTATCGCTCATATTTCTGTCCATTCCTGCCGGAGAACGCGTCCCGTGTTTGTCGTCGCCTGGTGGCCGCTGAAGGGAAGCGCAGCGAGCTGACAGAGCGAGTGAAGGAACACAGGGTTCAGAGCATGTCGCCTCCTGTTGCTGCACCTCACTGTGGGATCTGCTGTCGACCTTTCAGTCTGCACACATGAGCGCAGAGAGCTTTCGGACGCTGTCTGCTCGCTATGTGCGGCCCGGACGCTTGGAGGAGTCCAGCAGCTCTGCGTCTCTTGTAGGAGTCTGAGAGAGGAAAAGAGGCAAAACCGGGTTTGTCATTGCGGGGATTTTTTTTTTTTTTTTTTGGACATAACTTGTCAGAGAAGTCGCTTTGCTTCTTCTTCTTCTTCTGCTGCTGCTCCTCCTGCCGGAGGTTGCTTTGGTTTGTTCGCAGCGGAGAAAGTGTGAAACAAGTGTCAGGAAGAGAAGCAACAGATGTTTTTTGGTGGATATGCGGCCGGCTGAGGAATGAGAGCAGCGGCAGCGGCGAGGCACCGGCGGCCCTTCCAGCGGTTCTGCTGCTGTGGAGTCGGGCTGGTCGCCGTCATTTGGCTCGCACAGGTCATCCAGGCACCAGGTGAGCCCTTAATATAGACTGAGCAGGCTGAGAGCGCGTGCGTGCTTCCACAATAATGACAATACCGTGCAGATTCACTGGAAAAAAAATAAGTTTAAAATGATCTATAACACCAGATACTTTCTCATGCACAGTGTTTATAATGGTGAGATTTCATATTAATGTCCATTTGCTCAGCACGTTGATGCAAATTAACCATCCATCCTCAGTATTATTCATGATCATTGATTATAATTTAAAAAAAATCACAATCAGACACCAATGTTTGCTTGAAACAAAGATCCACTGTCATTAAACAAGCAGAAAATGCTGCATAATCCAGAACACACAGGGCTTCAGTTGCAGCAGAAACCCACCTTTTTAGTATGAATGCGTATAAATCTGTGCATGTCATAGAAGTGTCCATATGTTACACTAGACTTGTGCATTATTAAACATCCAGATGTGTCAAGACATTATTCCACCATTTAATGCTCCAAGTAGCATAAAGGTTCACGCTGCGCTCACACTGTTAAGTTGAATTCTTGCTTCATTTTTTTTTTTTCCAAAGCAAACCTAATGTCGCTGCACGACACATTTAAATCTGAGTTCAGCGATTCCTAACATGACTCCCAGCTTCAGTCCTCCAGGGGGATGACAGCTTCACACCGTAGGAAGGTGACAGTTTGTCGATTACATAAAGCAGGCACAAATTGTGGCGTGTGTAAATCCAATCATCTGGGATAAGTTGAGTTCTAGGTTGGGCATTCAGTGGATATTACATGTTCATCTCAAGAAATGCTGCGTATGACTGGGCATGCTAAGGTTGCATTTTTGTGCACATATTTGCTTTTTTCCCTAAATAGACCGCCTTTCCTTTTTTTAATTCGGGCCTTTTCCCAGGCTGTCACTTCATCTCAGAGCACGGTTTTCACTCAGCAAAACAAATAGTTTTGAAATGCAGATAAATAATAAATTGCTGGTATTTTTCTTGGATCGTTTACAGTGATTCCCTTCCCTTCCTAACACAATGTAACGCACTCGTACACAACACATCACACAGACATAATCCTGATTTCCCCGCGGACTGATTCCCCTGCAGCCTCCAGGGTAAAATTAACTAGATACAGTGACTACAATACAGCTATAAAAGGACATGTAGTTAAGTGAATGTCACATAAATAATTGGATTCTGTTGTAATTCAAGTGCACAGAGACCCACCTCGCCTTCACTGAGTTTTCTTCTCCATAAAATTCAAAAACGCTGCAACAGTACACACCTCTCGCATCCATTAATGACTAGAATTAAGTGAATCAGATGCTTCGATATCTCATCTAGCAGCAGTGCACCTAAAGGCATCATCCCCAACCCCTTCCCACCCTCCTCCTCCAGCTCATTATCCTCTCGTCACCTTTGCTGATGTGGTCACACACTGTCACACACACTCATCACCAACGACATTTTTTCCCTCCCCTGTGTGCAAGATAAGGACCCGAATAGGTGAACTTTTTGTTCCATCACGAGTGCTTGATTTACATTTGGGTTTCATCCTGGTATTTTGTGCCGTTCTTTCTGTGGAAGAGTGTCCCAGTGAATGAGCCGTGTCATTAATATTTATGCTTCACCTTTAAATTATGAGTGTGCCATCAACCAGGAGAGGTTTTCTGAACCGAGACCAAGGCTGCTCAACTTAAAAACCGCACAAAAGCACCGGGCAAAGCATGTGGTCTGCTGTTTGTACTGATGACAGGCAGGTTACTCGCACAATACTTGGAAAATATTACACATACTGTCGCATCCTGAATACCGCTGCCTTTATAACCATTTATGGCCTTGCTGGTCCAATACTGAGTAACAGTATCAGTCTGATACTGGCAACAAAAAAACAACAACATTGGATGGGATATTGGAAAAATAGATTACAATCCAATACAAACTGTTGACAAGTTACACGCCACATACTTGATATGATTTTGCCAAGCAGAAAAAAATGATGCTGAAGCAAACTTTATTTGAAGTGTGAGAAACACCCTCCAGACAGCAACAAAGCCGATGACATTAAAATTAGTCAGCTCGCATGAAGCCTCATCGAGCAGCATTTCATCTCAGAGATGACAGGTCTTATCTGTGCAAGCAAGTGATGAATTCCTTTCAAAACATGTAAAAATGCAGCAGCAGCTGATTTAAGTTGCTGTTAAATATACACAATTCTTACCTATATCATGTTTGAATGCACAACAGAGTAAGTTTCTGATTGAACAATGCAATTCTAGTAACGTACAAAAGCGAGCTTCAGCAGATCATAAACCCACGTATCTGTTTTTTTGGCCACTTTGCAGCACAGTACTGACGTTACATTTAAAAATTCAGATAACCAACATGTTATAAAAGAGCTAGCACCATTTGGCGTTGTGTTTGTGTCTCCAGCGCGATGCTGTGTCCAGCTCTGGATGCTTGTCTTTGAGGTGCTTATGTAAGTTTTTGCGGTGTTTTCACTTCAGATGCTCTTTGGCACAGTTTGCTGACTTGTTTTTGCTTGTCTCTAACTTGTCGCCGATGATCTGATTCAAAATATGTCTGTACTTTTTTTTGACAAAATTCTCTGTAGACTCGTTGCTGCACCTGCATTTGCTATTTTGTTATGTAGCTGTTATCGTCCAGTATCTACCTGCAGCTTTTACAAGAGAAACAAGAACAGTAATGTTTTACAGAATTTTTGCATCGTTGGCGTTGAAGTATCGATTCTTGCGACATATTTAGCTATTTAGTTGTGTAATCCATTTCTAATATATAAAAAAATGATAACAGGCACTTTAAACTCACTGTTTGTAGAATTTATGACTTTGGGGATCCACACAAGGAAATAAATAAATGGACTGGAAGCACACATAATTGAACCAATTAGGTTCATTTTTCTACTAAGAAATACTTCACATGCTATCAGAAGAATTGGAAAAATGTTGCAGTCACATGAAAGTTGTACACACAGTGGTTTTAGATAGTGGGAAAAAAAATAGTGATTTTAGTATCAGATGATTAGTCACAGTAGCTCTTTCCAAAAAGGGAAATTGTCAATGGTTGAATTGTAAACCATACAGACCAACAAGTCACAGTAAGAGCAACCACACAACATGTTTTTTGGGGTTTTTTTTTTGGGAGAAAGCATGTTGGCCAGTTGCACTCATAATGAAATACTGTTGTTTTTTTAGTTTTAGCCTCGATATTGTCTACACTCTATTTATAACTGCGGTTAAATCCCATTTAAGGTCAAATCAAATGTCCATCAGCTCGTTGTAAACTGCAACATGACACTTCATCGTAAATGTCAGAGTGGAGATCTGCAGGACTGCAGTGTTATCTAAATGGAAATGAAGCTCAAAGTGTTGGACTGAAATACAAATACTGCTTTTTTAAAAAGTCATATCTGAAGACTGAGGTTTCAGACGTATAGTCGTATGTACCTGCATTGCCACTATTGAGGATGTCACAGTGAGAGACATTTACTACCACATACTGCAGCCTCGTCCTGTGGAGGCAGTGAAGCTGTTTGGGGTTTAGAGCCGAGGAAGCCGGTCTGTCCAGTCGATGTGTGATTGACGGGATCAAATGTCTTGTTTCTGCCAAAGAAGGAGCCAGCGCTAGTTTGTCTCCTTTGTTAAAATGACAGTTTCTTCTTTCAGGTACTGTAAAAATCAACCTGCTATTGAATGAATTGTAGGAGTGAAAACCTCATTCAGTCTAGTTTTGTGTCACAACAAGATAAATTCATGAGATTCTTTATGTATTTGTGGCAATAAAACCGAAAGAGAAATCAAATAACAGGCACGACATTCTCTGAGTCTCTGAGATTCCTCACAGCCTGCATTGTTTTAACAGTGACTTATGAGGTGATTATGAAATGCACTTGATGGTATTTACGCTTACCTTTCTGCATTCAGCCTGTGTGTTTATGATGAGGAATGCGGCAGCAGGATTAAAGTATTTCCATACAAACACCACATTTCATGTTTCATCTGCCACTGATCACTCTGTAGCCTCTTTGCGGTGTTTACATTTACATTTTAGGGCCTCTAGCAGACGATCTTATCTAGACTTACGATCACGGTGACTGTAAATTTAGCTTCAACGCCATGGATCACCAATGTTATGTGTCACTTACAGGGCAAAAGTCAAGGGTTGGAGTGAAGAGAGTGTTGCTGAATGCATGGAAAATGTGTGAGATTGTGATTGTTATGAGTGATTGTAAAAATGACTGTTTGTAACTGTAGGCTGAATCTTCCAATGTTTATAGTTTTAACATCATTAAGCATTGGGAACAGAAAAGGCACATGGGGCTATTTGGCAAAGCAAATGGTATATATATATACACCGTATGTCATCTACTAACTGATGACAACATGAGAGGCACCAAGATGAGGCTTAGCTAAACAATTTCCTGAGGGAAACCCTGTTTAGTGTTAGTTACACCAGAACTGTCAAACTAAGAATCTAAAACCCCGTTTACTGATAGTTTTAAAATGAATCTTGCACCGAATCACAAGTGGACAGCACTAAATGCAAACATAAACGATCACCAAAACACTGTGTTATCCGGTTCACTCCTTATCGAGGTGGTCTGGGATGCATTTGACCGCGTATCTTCTGGAGTGTAATGCGTCATCAGTGCAGGACATGATGGTTGTCATCCTGTGTGCTTTCGCAAGTCTTAAATGACTTTGTCCTGTTAATCTCAGCAGTGAGAACATCCTGTTGAAACATTTTGGTTTACTTAGCTAGTCAGTGCAAAACTAATCTGGTAAAAGACTGATGTAATAACTGCCTACGGGGCCTTTTGACCTTTTAGTGAAGAACTTTAAGTATGAAGTCTGAACACAAGTGGTCATCCAGACTCCCGAGAGATCAACATTCACATAAACAGATATTAAACGTGAGTGTAAACAGGCTCCAAGATGGAAAAACCTGCAAAGAAGCCACAGTTTCATAATAGCAGAAGAATCCAATGTAGTTGGAATTTACACATGTGGTGATAAATTAGAAAAAACAATTGACAGAGTATCATTTAATTACACATTATGGGTTGGATTTAATTAGAGCCAGATAAGCCCAAAGTTGTATGTCAATCAGGTGGTTTTTTAAAAAATGGTTTGTATTTGTTTGCTTTCTCAGTGTTGGAGTGGCAACTGTGACAAATGTTTCACAAAGAAAATCTTCTGACTATTTTCATAGATTAATAAGTTGATACTGCAAGTTCCCAGAGCCCAGTGGTACTTAAAATAGCTTTTCTTCCTCAAAGAGTTAATTTGCAGTCAACTAAAATATATTAGAAACCAGAGAACATTTGTTTTTGACATATCACTAACTGGATTTCCTTTCTGCACTAGTCAGTGTTGTGCAAGTTGTTTCTACTCCATGCTGTGTTCAGATTTTTTGGACTTAATAAAACCTGAAAGTAGAAAAGAAATCGGACAAACGACAGATTTTTTATTTCTCCATTTTCTAACGAGACAAGATGTTAGTTTAGCTGTTGGAGACTTCTCTCAGCTTGAAGTGTGAAAATGCTGCAGAGCCATCTGTGGCAGAAACCTATTTGAATTTCATACGGGTCGAGCTTCTCTTGATGCCTCAACATGAAAGCCTTCACGTCTCTTCTCAGCCACGATCGCTGCCCTCGTGAAATGGGCTCATTGAGCTGTAAGGTACAAAGGGACACTACAGTGCTTGGAAATCACGAAACGCATCAGACGCAGCCACCAAGCAGCCTCATGATAAAAGGACAGTGTGTAGCAGAGAAGCGTAATAACTGACTCACTATCTTCTTGGCCCTCAGTGGAAAGATCTCTGTGGGTGGCAGTGAAGGATATCTGTATTTTATTTCCCCATAGCGGAGATGATGAGACAGTTCAATCTGATGGGAGTTCCTCAGCTGTCGCCCTACTGAAGCTCGAAAAAGTGAAACTCACAAAGAGATTATCTATCTAGGAGTGAAATACGGAGCTGAAATAGACACCATAAAGATTTCAGTGCTGATTACTCAGAGGATCATGGACATGCTGGTATTTCCCCCAGCAAGAAACTGAAACTACAGTCTAGTCGAGAATAACACTGTGGCAGGAACAATACTTGGATTGGTTTCAAAGGACAAGTGCTATTTTTAAAAACTAATTTAGGCCTGTAACTATAAACATAATCTTTATTTAGTTGTATTAGTTCAATGAGAGTTAAGTTTGAAACCATTTATCAATAAAAATTGTATTAAAATTCCTGGTTTTGACGAATAAACTTCCTGAATAGCTACTTCTGTTTTTTGGGTTTTGCTTTTGTGTAAGTAAACTGTTTTAGGGTTTCATAAAGTTTGTAAGACAAAAAAAAGGAAAAATGTTGGCTTCATCTTGGGTTTTAGGAAACTGTGATGTGAATTTTATTGGAGTTTCAACCAGTTATTCTCATTATGGGCAGTAGCACTTGACCAATGCTGGATTTCTAGGGCAGATGTTGATTTTTAGGGAGTAAAAAACCGCCCTATCATTATTCTTTATATATACTGTGCACATATTAAGATATTTTAGTTATACTGACAGGGAAAATGTTAGCATCATTGTTTATTTTTTCAATAATGTAATTCACAAACTAGCTAGCAACTTATCGAGAAGACACTGCTTGACTCTGCACCATTGTCTCCTGAGCTGTGATGTGTTCTCTGCTACATGTGCTGCAGAGTGTTGTTAACAGTATAGTCAGAGCTGCTCTGCTGCACAAACTGTTATGACTCTTTTCTAAATTTGTCCAAGCGTAGTTTTCTACATTATGGTCAATTTTAAAGAAAGCTATTTGTGCATATGTACAAATGTCATATACGATAATATCGGCTGACCAAAATATCAGTCGTGCTCTTATGATGATTTTCAGTTTATTTCATAAAAAAACAAGAAAATCTGAATTCTCAAAGCTGAGACCTTTGGATCATCATATTTTAGACGTTTTTGTGCGAATGTTGACTGACACATTTATTGACTAAGTCAATACAAAATCCACATGCAGTTAATGAATCTCATTTTTCTCCTTCCTAAATGAAAGCACAGAGGTTGCCTTCTGCAGATGAATTCTGTAAGATCTATGTACCCGAGTAGTTTTGCACTGAAATGGCTTGTGTTGTTTTGTAACAGAGACAGAGTCCTCTGGGTTTCGGCCAGGCGTGAACGTCGGGACGCTGCAATGGACACGCAGGTTAATGCAGGAGAAGTCAGACAACCAGACCCAGAATGAGCCTCGAGCAGGTGAGTCACTCTTCTTTACCTGGATAGATATCGTCTGTTCCTCCAGGACACACCGGCAAGCTCTCCTACACTGTCTGCAACACTTCCTTATCATTCAGTGTATGGGAGGGCAACATAGATAATATCTTCAATAAACTGGTATGTTATGGCTTATTACAAGTTTGACATGAACTGTGATATTTTCATTTATTTGGAGGAAAAACGTTGACCAGGTAGTAATTTTTGTTTGTACAATTCAGTTTAAAACTATCGTTAGTCGTGCTAGAAACAGTGACACTGCAGTTCTACTCTCGTGGTATATCTTTGTATATAGTGCCTGTGTGCTTTAGTATCAACAGTATTTGGAATTAAAACAACCAGTGTAGTGTAACATTTAGGATTTTGAAAATGGAGTCCGATGAGGTGTAGCAATGTGATTTTTCTTCCATGTGTTCAGACATGCATGTGCTGCATGCAGCTACACAAAGAGCTGTACCAGAGATTTCTGCCTCTCCCCTGCAGGTGAACTGAAAGGTCATGTGGACTAGGCATTGTGGTTGTTGTCAGGAGTGTGTCAAGCTTGTGCTCTGAAATACTGTAGGAGACAGACGAAGCACAAGAAGAGGAAGCTGCCAGAAAGTCAGATTAGATTCTCTAAGGTACTCGGTTTCTAACAGACGCCCAGTTACTCTCCTTTGCTTCTCAATAGTTTGAACGGATTCAAACAGCTCTTCATGAAATTACTACTGAGACATGCAGCCATAATCAGACCTCTGTTTCTCTGGTTCCCAGGCTGATTAGCTGGCTGGCTGACATGAGCCGCATTCATCACAGCTGACAGTTTTATTATTAAAAATTCAGATCAGAGAGGAAATCTCTTTATTGTTGCGCGGGGAGAATAGCACAGAGTAGATAAAATAACACGGGAGCACAATGAAAAATCTGTTGCCTTACTGACAGAATACAATTCTGTATCGTCATATCATTTGCATTCACTCTGTGGCTGTGCTCATATCAGACTGTCAGTCTGTATTGTATGCAAACCGTTATTGTCGGAGCCTGAGCGCAAAATTTCAGCCTTATTCTTGCAGAAATTTATGCACATCGAGTTATGCTAATAATATACCATGCAAATAGCCTGCTCAGATCACACTGCTCCTTAATACCACCGCCTACTCAGGGTGTGCAACCTAAGAAACACACAAAGTCACTGATTTCAAGCTTTTTCAAAGGAAATTTGAGTGACATTCATACATTACATCTTCTGCAAGAGGAAGTCTTTTTAAAGCTGTAGTATTTGGGAGAGATCGTCTTCTCAAGGTGGGAAAAAACAATATTTAAAGATTTTATCAAGACAATACACAGTGTTAGCTGTCTACTGTATTATCATGAATCTAGTTTTTAACTTAGTTTTCTGGGCAGTTTTTAAACTTAATCATTCTGCCTGCCATAGCTCAGTAACATACAGTTAACTTTTTGATTATATTTTGGGATTACACTTAAGATGTGCACTAACATGAACTTATCAGGTAAAACTGATTTGCACTTAAAGTAAATCCAGATGTTACAGACTGTCACATGCTCTTCTTTGATAGGACATTGAAAGGTGTTTCTTCCCTGCACTTGAGCAAGAAAATAAGGAGACCTGGTGTCTCTCTGCTCCAGTGCTCCATTTGCTCCATACAGCCATTTGTGTTTTGCTACCTGATAACAAACTTAACCTTTATTGAGTTTCTGGTTGCAAACAGATCCTGCTCATTATCTCTTACAAAGACACAAGCGTACTGCGGGCAGATACTTCGCTGTGGTAATACACTGGAGACGAGGAGGTGAACAAAAGGCTGGACAGGTAGTATAAGACACAGCGGCGAGCGCGGCTCCAGCCTCAGGTTGCCACCCTCTTCCTCAGCAGGCCGTCTGACAGTGATTGCATAATCTGTAGTGTGATTAAAAAGCCTGCCCTGGACCTCGGGGGATATTATCTTGGGGATTGCACAGTAACGTCCAGCCCCAGGCTCTCTTTCTCTCTTTTCATCCCTCCACTGCTTAACAAGATGGAGACGGTGTGATCCGGCTTCAGCTGACAAGCCTCGGAGAGCGTTGTTGCTTAGCAACTGAATGCTAAATTTTGAAACCCAGACAATTCTGTCTTTCAAGCATTAAAAGTGCAAAGAGAGGAGCTAAAAATAGACGAGCGGTTGTGGGGATGGGGGCTGGGGTTCAAAGAATCCAAACAATGTAAATGAAGAAAATGGCTCACACTGTGCGTTGTTGTCGAGATTTGTTATGCTGTTTATGTTGGCAAGTGACAGCCAGCTGAGAATAGCATTTTTCCACAAATGTGTTTTGGGGGTTTTTATTGGAAAATTGTGGAGAAAGAGAAACTGATAATCTGACACACATTGACTTCTAATGTTCTTCTATCAGGATAGCCACAGAAAGCAGCTGTGAATGCGCCCTCCATGAGAAGTTTTGGAAAATTTGAAGCAGATATAGTTGGATAATGCTCAGTCTCTGTCACTGTCTGTCCTCAAACATGGAATTAAAGAGGTGGAGGTCAGAGGTCAAGGTTTATCATAAGTCTCCTCTTAAAGTCAAAGTGGTTGTCATTCATCAGAACATGTTTTTGCTGTTGCCTCTGACTTTGTTTTATTTCTCGCCCACCATGCTGATTGCGGATGGCGTCGTGTGATTATGAAAAGCTACACACGAGCAGTTTTTTCATTTGCTTGTATCACAACAGTGTGACATGATGTTTAGTGTTTTTATTGATGGACAAGGTCGTTGGTGCGGTTTGAAGCCCTGCTGTCGTTTCATCAGCGTTGCATTCAAACTGCCTCAAAGGAAGCGAATCAAAGAACAAATGCATAATTGAATTTACATTACACACCTGGATGAAATATTTATTTTTTGATTCCTCATGAAAAATGCAGCCGTGTTGCAGAGGTCCGTGTGTGTGCGGCGATACACCAACACCAGTTTGGTTGGTTCATGATACGACTTTGCTCGTCGTGCCAGTCGATACCGTAGCTTGACTCCAGGACACCTGCAGGCTTTCAGATCGATAACATTATCCTGCACCGCCCCCCATTCAGCGCCACTGAAGCCTCCTGAAGCAGCTTCTGACTCACAGAACGCTCAGCTCATCACATCAGCACTGGACTCAGAGTGGAGATTTTACTTCTGTTGCTTTGTGAAGAATTTGCTTGCCGTTGACCTTATCCTTGAGGATCTAATTTGTTGCCCCACAGTCGCATTAAATGCATACTTAAGAAAGAAGCTTACATCTGTGCAGATTAAACAACAGACTAAAAAGTCCAAATTACAGCAAAAAGAAATGGTTGATGGAGGCATTGTTTGATAATAACTAGTGGATTCATTTGAAAGCTAATGCAGGTTTATATGTGTGTGTGAAGGATAAAAGCAAGACACATCAAGGTAAATTTATGTTTTGCTTTTTGACAATTTTAGTCAGTGCATCCTAGTTCTTAGAGTGCTTTAGAGTTAATATATAAAATTGTTGTTCTGTGTCCTTTTTCCATCCCTGACTTACTCTTTTGGCATTTTGCCTTTATTAGAAAAAAGCTGTAGAGACAGACAAGATGGGAAATCTGGGGAAAAGAGCAACGGAATGACAAGCAGCAAAGGTTCGATCGAATCAAACCGGTATAATTTATCACTGGCTTTTCATTATTTATCTCTCCCTGACAGTTCAACAAAGCAAGCAAACAACTAATAATTGTCACTTAAAGGTCAGCATCATTGTACCTCATCAGCTAGTTAACGTTTAATGTCTTACACAGGCAGCGCAACCTCCAAAGCTTCAGAACAGCCTTCGTTTTTCAGTCAAATGTTCCTTCTCCATTGACATTGTTAGGAAGAATCTTCAAACAGGCATTCTCTTAGTAGTCCTAATATTTCAGTATTTCATATTTATTTCATTTTACAACTTGACCTTGCAAGTTGTTTTCTTGTTTTTCTTTGTTTTTTAGTGTTTTAGATTTTATTATGTTTTACAAATTGATTTTACAAATTTTTCTGTTTTCCATCTTACTTTTTTTGCACATATTTTTGATGTCCTCTGTCCTATACCATTTACAGCACATTGGTCAACTCCAGTTGCTGTGAAACACTCTATATATACTTTTTTTTTTTTTAATGACAGTAATGCTAAATAAATTTCTGACACGCAGAGGGGGAAAAAAAAAAACCCAAACAGTTCAGTACTCCATCGCCATACATTTTTCAAGTTGAATTATTAAAATGGTTTTAATCTGTGAAGCTGGCAACGAGTTTCTCTGGCCAGTTCTTCACTCCTCATTGTTAGGAGTAGAATCAACACTACATCTTTTTCATTTATACTAATATCATTGGTTGTGTCTCTTCTTATAAACCACTGACAACTGTGTTGATATTTATGTTTATGCAGATACCAAAATTTTCTGTAATTCTCAGAAATAACTTTTTGAGTTTGAACTGAACTGTTTCAATTGTAACAATTTACTGCTAAAATAAATAATGCAAATTCCCCCAAATCCCAAATAAAAGTCTTGAATTAGTCAGATGTCCACGTTTTAAGAGCTCCTAATCAAGGTTAAAACTAGGTTTATGAAATGTCACATTTTTTCCCCAAAAGTTGTTGATCTGCCCCAATTGCCTCTTACCAACAGTCTCTTCAATGTACTTTACATTGTGTGGGATTCAGGGAACGATATGTGAGCTGCTGTAAACGCTCACTGCTTTTCCACCAAGGCCATTCAAGAGCTATTTCAGGGTCGGGGTTTAATCTCAGGCTAGTTCTTTGCATTTTTACACCCAGAGAAGCAGCTGTCAGCCATGAGAGCAGCTCCAACACTTTGCTGGTGTAGGACCAAGAGCCTTCTACATCAGAGGCTTTTTCTACTTTGTGGCTGCCATTTAAATTTATTTTATTTTATGATTATTATTTTTTTAATGTACAAAATTGCTTTTTTGCTTGGGAAGGTTCCCTAACCGAGTGAAATGACCTGGACATATCTAAATGGCAGCCATGATAAGAACTGGTCGGATTCTCTAAATGATGAGGAAAGGTGCTACACTGGACCGTAGATCACTGGAGGGAAGTAGTGATGCATCATCCTTGGCAACCCAGTGTAATCAGGGTTTGATTATCTTAGCTACATTGTTATCTTATGTCTTTATGCATCTCGGTCAAGGAAAAGTGTTTAGAAAAAGACATAGGATCAGTATGTTGTGGAATTCTTGAAGAGATTGAAGGAGGATGAGGAACCCGACACAGAGAGACAAACCAGAGACTCAGATGTCTTAGGTTGATGTAAGGTTTACTGAATTCAGGAGAAGTAGGAGAAGCAGCACTTCACGCATGCAATGCCAGCATCAGTTCTAAGGATCCTCTCGCACCTTCGGTCTTAAATCGTTCTTCGGTAGGAACCATCTCTAGATTCATGGATGAGAGGGAAACAAAAGATAGTCTGGCGCCTTGGTGCTTGAGAGGCACAGAGAGTGTCAATCTGTTTCAAGATCCAGCACATTTTAAACACTTTTACAGCTCAGTTTTCACAGCTCCTACTCAAAATTCGATTCTGGTGTTCTTTTGACAATCATCCAATGAGATGAATTGTTCAGCGCCTATATCTGCTCAGGAATGTCCCTCTGAGACCTACTCCCCATCGGACCCTGTCAGACAATGAATGGTCTTGCAATTCCATGGATAAACACATTTAACTTTACCTAGAACGTCTGAAGGTGGAATGCTCACACTGTCCCCTAAGGTCGAGTCCGATCCATCCCTTTAAAGGGTCTGACCCGGGACCCTTTAAAGGGGCACCGGGAGTGCTTTCCTGTCCTCCTACATGAGGTCAGAAATCTATAGAAGATTTGTAGATTGGCACACATCTGTTACAGATACGACCTTTGCTTGGGGAGGTCAAGAGAGGAGTTAAGGGTAAAAGTTCAGTACCATCTCTAGAGGCTTAACCACAGAGAGGAAAGTAACTTTTCCTTCACATAGTAGTGTAGCGTCTACGCTGCCTAACCAAAATTAATAATAAGAAAATCCAGAGCTTTGGTTGGCCAGGACTAACACTTGTAAAGAGACAATGTGGTTCACCGTTGTTTTTGTTGTTGTTGTTGGTGTTGCTGTTGTGCTTGGCACCAGTGTTGCTGGGAGACGTATGCAGTGATGTAATTATGTGGCTCTATGGTCCGTGGAAAATCACACCGATTCCTAAAGGGAGGCACCTCTGAACCGGCACTAACACAAGCCCAGAGCGAGCACCTGGAGCGAGACACACCAAACTGAATCACAGGGGAGTTAATTGTTTGAGTATCTTGTGACTCTGACACTGAAAAGTCCCCAAACACTGAGAAAAATGATGTGGCTACACATCAACACCGCAGCCCAAATGTTCTCTGCTGATTAGTAAACTTTATGGAGCTGTTGACACATCTGGATTAGATCCCTGTCTCGGTTAGTTGCAGATGCCTGATCATCTTCATTCGTGGTGTTTCAGTTTGTGGCCTGGAATTGTGAAACTGTAGCCTCAGAGTCTTGGCAAGGCACAATCTTGTTCAGCAACCTTCAGGAAACCAGTTTCTGTCTCTGTGTATCTCTGTGCCGTTCTTTCCCCTCCCTCACTCTCTCAGACCTCTCCTGAGGGTTTGTAAGGAAAAATAAATATTTTTAGACATCATGGTCCAGAGCTGCTGTCACTTCTCTTTTTTTTTCATTTTTCATAAACCCTAACCATGGGAAACACATATTCACCTCCCCCTTTCTCACTGTTCATGCAATCGCCTTGCCTTTGGCTTCCTACTGCCACCCATCAAAAAAAAAAAAAAAAAGCTGCCCCCAGGGAGAGGGTCGCCATAGCAACTACCTTCACCAGAGCAACCCCTCAAAGCGTCCATCTGAGCTACATGTTGTAGCCCTGCGTTTCCACCGACAGCATAACCTGAGAGTTTATGTTTTAGGGCAGAATGGAGACTGGAAGTCTTCCAGAGCTCTTCGACAGGACGCAGAGAGCAAAGAAGGTGAAAGGAATAAAGCCACAGAGAGAGAGAGAGCACAGATGTCCAACAGCTGATCAGCTTGACAGGCCGCTTGAGAAGACGCATACAGTGCAGTTTCACATTTAGGCTCCTTCTTTCGTGCGATAAGATGACGGAAAGTTTACATGCTAAGCCTTGATGATTTATTGGATGAACCCTGCCCCACAATAACAGCTGGCACACAAAGAAAATAGGCTTTTTCCTCAGTCTTAAGAGACACAGCGAACCTTCAGAAACTCATTTCAACCCTAGCCCTCGAAAATGATGCACAGGAATCAGCTTATGACACAATAACACAATTGTGTAAACACTACCGCACAAACATTTATGTTTGGTAACTGAACATGACCAAATTGCTGTCCCCTCCTCGAGACCATATGGCCTCGTCCTCTCAATTTCTACCACTGCAGTGTCAAAGATCAAATCTCATATCCCTGATCACAAGGGACCCTCTCTTAATCCACGCAGTCTGTTGTTCAGTTTCCATGCAGCCGAGGTGCAGTGTGCAGCACGCATCGTGACAGCTACACTCTTATTGTGTGCTTGTCGACCCACTGTTGTCTCACACAGCACAGGAGCTATTTATAGCTCCGTGCTCCCCACTAGTGTAAATTCATCCAGCTCAGCTCAGAGTTGTAAATTGGAGCTGTACCACACTCTCGAGGCCCTCTTTTGCAATGTCAAGGGAACAGAGTCGAGCTAAGCTGTCATTAACACTTTTTTTTTTTCTTCCTTTCACACTCGAGAGAAGACAGGAAGCAGCTGCCAGTTTCACTTCCACCTCACTTCCGCAAGACCAACGATGAGTCTACATGGTGGCGTTGTGGGTTGTACCGTGTCTGGAAGAAATTAAATTAGTCACACAGGGTGATAATACAAAAATTATATACTGCTGTTATATCCTTGAGGTTGTTTGAAATTACTGGCTGTTGTGAAAGATGCCAAAACAGCACTTAGGGTTCTTTTTCTTGAGGTTTGCAGGTTGTCGTGTAGATATTTTAAAGACATTTAAAAGATTTTAGTTGAAAAAATGTGCATCATAATGTTTCCTCCCCTGCAGCCATCGATGAATTTCCAGCAGACATCTTCAGCAAGGAGGAGAGGAAGCATGGGGCTGTGTGTCTGCATGCACTCTGTGTGAGTGTTTCTCCTAATATTGCCTGAAATCTGCATATTTTCTATTTATATCTTTGACTCATCCTGCTGACATCTGCCATCACTATAGCGTAAACCAGCGCAAACTGCAAGCTAAGACCTACATAACTGGTTTATGTTATAAAAAGACAGGGTGTGCATGTGTCCCTCAGCCATCTTATCTGTGCTCTACTGTACTTTGCAGGCCATCTACATGTTCTACGCTCTGGCCATCGTCTGTGACGACTACTTTGTCCCCTCTCTTGAGAAAATATCTGAGGTGGGAAAACCAGCATCAGCCTTTAGATATCATTTTCTTATTTCAACAGTTCATTGTTTGATTATTCTTGTTTTCTGCTCTTGTTTTTTGATTGTATAGAATCTTCAGCTCAGTGAAGATGTGGCCGGGGCGACCTTTATGGCTGCAGGAAGCTCTGCTCCAGAGCTTTTCACCTCTCTGATCGGTTAGCACCTCAACCAGTCTAGACCAAAGAACAGCTTTGCCAGTTTTGAGAATTCATTTTCACTTATGACCTGTCCAGGGTGTCCCCTGCCTTCGCCCTGAGTTGGCTGGGATAGGCTCCAGCCCCACCGCGACCCTAGTGAGGATGAAGCGGTGTATAGATAATGGATGGATGGATTTTCACTTATTCTCAACATTTAAACAGACAAAAATTAAATGCCTGGTCTCTGCTGATGTCAGAATCATCCAGGAGATGTCAGCAGAGTTCAATTTAAAGCAATAACTGTTTTTTAAATAGATTTTTCATAGTTTTTGGAGGATAGTGACTGACTTTTAAGAGTCATTAAAAACATTAGTAATCCCCTCCAAACACACATGGCATCTAAAATGAATGTTGTAGGTAACTTTCAGTGACGCTTTTAAAGAAAAAAAATGTAATCTTTGCTCGAGACACAATAGTCCATTTAATCAAAGGTCCCGTTTATCTATAAAGTATAATGGAGTAGCTTTGTAATGAATCGCAGAACATCCAGAATGAAATTACAGAGTACAGCGATTTAATCCAATCTGAAAACAAGCAAATTCCTTCCACCTTCAGGTGTTTTCATCACCAAAGGAGACGTTGGAGTCGGCACGATCGTGGGCTCGGCTGTCTTCAACATCCTGGTCATTATCGGCCTGAGTGGAATCTTTGCAGGACAGGTACCACAAAGTTGTGACACTTTTGGCAAAATCCATGCATGCAATTGTCACTTGTGTTGTATCTCCTCAGCCAGCTCTTATATCTCAGCCTGGTTCTGAGTGTTCTGAGTGTGTAATATAAGACAGATATCATCTTTTTAGGGCTAGAAATAGACATGACACACTGATGCATTTATTTGGTTCTGAAGTTGCAAATTTGCTTGTTTTAAGTGTTGCTTAATGTATTTTCTTGTAAGTATTTGAAGAAATTACTTGGAGGCACCATGTGTTTTTCATATAGCTGCTATAAATTGGCAAAGATTTACTCACATTTAAATCTCCTACTGAATGAATACCACTGTTCCGATTGTAAAAATGCTAAGAATACTTGATAGGAGGCATTAAAGAAACTGCCCCTCAATTTGAAGGATCTTTCCACCTGTTTGTATATGCAGGTGGTGCTCGGACTAATTGGATTCTTACTGTTTGAATACAGTTGTAATCACATGATTTAATTCTTAATCTTTGTAACTTTTCCCAACAGACGGTGGTTCTGACGTGGTGGTCACTTTTTAGAGATTCCTCCTACTACATTCTCTCCGTGCTGGCTCTCATCTTGGTGAGATTTGTGTTCAGGCAGCATAATTCTTGTGTGATATTTTTTCCATCTTCTGCACTGCATTTTAAAGAATCTATTTCTTTTCTCTCTCTAGGTTATCTATGATGCCACAGTTGTCTGGTGAGTCCACATACTTTGAACCATATCTGTATCTTTTACTGCTTTGAACAATGTGAAACAATATTTTACACTGTTTTAACAGACACAACCCATATAAATTAGTTTGGATTCGTCTTTGGGACTCAGCTTTATTGAAAGATTTTCTAACTTTCTGCCTGGAGTTTAGCTAAATGAGAAATTAGATTACAAGATTACGGTTGACGGATAAGGAACAAACACTTCTGCTAACATCAGCTCACTTGACACTATTGGCACAATGATAAGAATGATTGACAATGTCATAAGAACAAACTTTTTGGCACATTCACAACAAGAAATTTCTAGTTTTGCTATTGTTTCATGCATTAAAAGAGCAAGTGGCACTCGTCATGCCATCAAATTTTCTGCAGGTTCACCCCTTCTCTCTCGCTCTGATTGGTGTCACAACCTTCCACAAATTACTGTTATTACAATCATGATCATGATAGTGTCAAGAAGTTCCCCAATCAGGGACTGTGCCACTTGTTGAATCGATTAGGTTCCTGATTTATCCCCGACAAATAACAAAACATCTGAATATGCATTTCCAGCCAGCCGCGGCTCATTTCGGAGTCAGCAGATGTGATGAGGAACAAGTTCAGTTTAAAATCTGCTGTGAAATTAATATTGATTTGTTTCATTTGTGTGGAAATGTGTGTCATTAGTCGTTGCCACTTCACACATGCTTTGCAGCTTCACTGTTAGATTGATTTGAAAGTAGTTGCTCGATTGATTTCTTTTGTGTAGCTGTTCCTTCTCAACTGTTTCATTCAGTGCTCTGGATGCCTTCTAAGCTTCTTGTCCTGAATGTTTTCTGTTCTGTCAACCTGAGGCCTTTCGTAAAAAATGGCTTCCATTGTTGCATGTGTTAGTGGTTTTAATGAAAGTAGATTTATTCGAGGACTTAATGTTCGTTGTAGCAAAGGATTCTTGAGTGATATATGGAGTGTTTATTGAACCACGGTGTGGCAAGCCAGAGCTGTCCTGCTGTATTTCACCTCACCACTCTTCTTCTGAAAACAGGTTGACAGATTTGTGTTTTAACTAACTTTGCCAATTCAGGCTCAGAATATGTGAAACACAAATCTGTTAGGTGCTGCAGTGGTCATTGAGTGTCCTAGTGCTAAAGCTGTTTGCACAAGATCAGTTTGGCTCCGTTTTTGGAAAGCTGATTAAGTTGAAGTGTTGATAAATAGTTGTGATTGTTCACTAGGGGCTGCATTCACAAAACATCTGGATGCTAGGAGTAGCTCATAGATGTTGGAAGTAGGAGGAACTTCTGAAATGAATGGGGGTCAGTCCTAACTTTAGGACCAAGTTGTTTTGGACTAAAAACTTCACAAAGCATTTTAGCTATAGAAGTAGATGAGCCTAAGTCATTAGGACCAGCTGACAGTCGTGTGCTCACCTGTTGTGCAGGTAATGTCTTGCTGCACAAGTGTTATAAAAAATAAAATGCTATTGCACTTATAAAGCCATATTTGATGGTGGCCATTTAATGAGGATTCAGTGGGCTTGCTAACAAAGCAACATAATCCAGTTACCCTAGAGATGGCAGTTGGCACAACTCGATGATACTTGGACACGAGAAAAATACAGCGTGCAGCACTAATGAGCCTGGAAAACATGGTATGCTCTGTAATTCACATCAAAGATATTAAAAATGACAAACATTTAGGTCCACATTTATATCGATTTCAGCCATCCTAGAATCGTCTCCTGTTAAGGTGTGTTGCCTTTGACTATAAATCTAGTTTTGTACCGTTGGAGTGTTTCAGACTAACACAGATGTCCTGTTTGCTGTGCAGGTGGGAGTCTCTGCTCCTCATGACCATGTATGGAATCTACATTATAATCATGAAGTAAGTTTGCCAAACCTCCTGAACAGTCAGTCACCATGCCTTCACACGAGTGAATCCAAGAGAAACACTGTTTATTGCATAGATATAAGACAGTGTCTGGTTGCAGGTTCAACTCCCAGATTTTGGTGTTTGTGACGCGTAAGTTCGTGAACGCTGGACCACGCTGCCTCCGATCAGAGGAGCACAGAGATGACAAGATGGGAGAAGACGCGTCAGGCTGCAACACCTCTATGGTGCTTCTCAACAAAGGTTGGGCGCCGTTGCTGATGGAGCTGATTGCATGTCTGTGGGGCTTCAGTGTAAATGGAGATCTATTTGTGTTGTGCTTAATTGCAAATACCTCGTTCACAGGCCAAGGCCACGGTCAGGACCCTTCAGTCCTCATGGTAGATGAGCTTCTCATCGTCAACCCCCACAAACTGTCCTTCTCAGAGGCTGGCCTGCGTATTATGATCACCCCCCACTTCTCGCCCCGCACCCGACTCTCCATGGCTGGACGGATGGTCATCAGTGAGGTATCTGATGCACACATCACACATCATAATACAAAAATACATCAAACTCTACATCTGAAACTCTTCACCACAGAGACAGAGACTGATCCGTAGTTCAAAGAACCAGCGGGATGGTGACGCTGGTCCTGCATCAAGAGGGGCATCAACCAGCAACAGTCTGAAGAGGACGGGCTCCTGCAGTCTGGAGAATGGAGGTGGGCGACCCGGCATGGGAGACGCAGAGTCAGGAGACAAACCAGGGACTGAGGCGTGCCAGCCAGAGGAGGAAGAGGACGATGAAGATGGGATTTTCAGTCCAGTGCGCATCCCAGGTAAGTTGATGTTGCACTGAATGTTAACAGCTGTCACGTGCAAGTAAGATTTAATCCTCTGAACCTCAAAACCTGCTGCCGTGTTTGAAAGGCATGTTATATTTACAAAATCATCAAATTTACATCATTTATCAGAACTGTGAAACAGCGAGACTCTTCTGATGGTCCTACTCATCTGTGACGTGATGTTCAGTTGCAAAATCATCCAAATCTAGGCTTAAAATCATGGTATTGCCATGGTATTTTTTCCCTGCATTTCTTGATTCACAATTTGCCAAAAATACGTACTTACAAAAGTTGCGTGCCTCCTTGTAACCCAGGAGCCACTAGTGACTCACCTGCCACTAACAGTAATGTGACAATTATTCAGAGACCTCTTGGATGAACTGCAGGCTGTTTTTACAGAAAGCAGATAAGAGACAAGTATGAAAACAAATTCAAAATGTAAGTAATAAAATATCTATCGTATGTGAAGTCACCATTTTTCCAGTATTGGTAACATCTGTGAGGACTTGGAAAAAATGTTGTGCAAGTTTTTTTTTCAATTTTTGTAAAATAAGTAATTAAAGAAATACAGATTTTGTTTTTTCTGTCGACTGAATTATGGTATGGTATCTTTGTCATGCTGCACAAAAGACATGTTTGAGTTCTCTCTGGGTTTAAAAGCATAACTATGTGAAACATTCAAAAAATTGCTTTCACACAGCGTATGTCAGTCTTTTAGGTACAGCTGACCTCAGTGTTTGTCAGTTTTGTTATGTGAAATTTGTTATGCTCTTATTAGTTTTCCTTGATTGACAAGAGTCTTTGATTACTCGATCAAATAAAAACCACCCTGTCCTCTCCTAACTGACTCACTGCTTGTTGCAGGTGGCTGCTGTGCGCGGGTGAAATGGGTGATCACGTGGCCTCTGGGCCTCCTGCTCTACTGCACTGTGCCTAACTGTATTCTGCCACGCTGGCACCGCTGGTTCATGGTCACCTTCGTGGCCTCCACATTATGGATCGCTGTCTTCTCCTACCTCATGGTGTGGATGGTAAGAAAGCAGACAGATGGCTACAACAGTACAGATGTCATCTCCAGTACACCTTGTATTCTTTATGACTAATAATGGATGTTATATACAGCTACATGCTGGTGTGGCTTGATGTAAATGGAAGCCGATTTGAAGGTTTTATAAGACAGTGTGACTGTTGTTTGAAAATGCTCTACCTTAAAATGGTGCTTTTATAAATATTGATGTAGAAGATTGCTGTTCTCACTATACAAGCCATTCAGCTTCACTTCACTGATGTTCCTATCAGGTCACCGTCATCAGCCACACTCTAGACATCCCAGACTACATCATGGGTATAACTTTCCTGGCAGCAGGAACCAGCGTACCCGACTGCATGGCCAGTCTGATTGTAGCTCGACAAGGTAAAAAAACTGTCCACTTTATTATCCTGAACTCCAAACCTATTGCCTTTTCTCTTCTTGTGGTGCAGGTGCTTCAGTTCAGCATTTCTCTGCCTCCTTTCCCGTCTCTTTTCAGGCATGGGGGACATGGCAGTGTCTAACTCCATAGGCAGCAATATCTTTGACATCCTGCTGGGTTTGGGGTTCCCCTGGGCTTTACGCACCCTTGTAGTGGACCACGGATCATCAGTACGCACACACTTCATCCTAATAAAACACATCTCTTTCCTTCCTTCTGTTTGTAATTTCTCTGGGTTACTGATGCTGATATGTGTCTACAATGTTTAACTATATGTCTTGTGTTAAACAATGGTCTTAAAATTGTGACATTGTGGTATTTTTTCCCTTTCTGCAGATCTCCATAAATAACAAAGGACTTGTATATTCTGTCATCCTGCTGCTGGCATCTGTGTTTCTGACAGTAAGTAAACACAAAACACACAAGGTAACACAACTGTTTTCAAGTGGTCAGTATGTAAAATAAGTCAAGTTAAAGATTTTAATTGATGTTCAAGATATTTTGGACTGATGTCAGGAGTCTTTACACCCCCTCCCTATTTCTTTATTCAAATCGGTATGCAATACTCCTCCTGCAAATTTATGCGGACCTGCAGGTTTGCCAAGACACTAGTTCAGTATGAAAATATTGAAATAGTTTCTAAAATGTTTTGTTTTAAGTTAAAGTTCTTAAATGAGATTAAAGTCCTTTAAATCATATTGTTTGTAGACTTAGCTTGTCACCTTGCTGTTTTTAATACTATATTTCAGAGCTTGACTGATATTTTGACACTGTTGATATTGTTAGCCAGTTTTCACAGATTATCAAATGAGATTATTCAGAAAATCTTTGCCCTATATACACCGACCAGCCACAGTGTTAAAACCTAATATTGTGTTGGTCTCCCTCATGCTGCCAAAACAGCTCTGGTGGGTCAGGCCATGAAAACAGGACCTCTGGGGCGTCCTGTGGTCTCTGGCACCGTGATGTTGGCAGCAGATCCGTTAGATCGTGTGCGTTGCTAAGTGAGGCCTCTGTGGATCAGGCTTGTTCTGACACATCCCTTGGATGCTCAACCAGATCAGGATCTGGGGAGTTTGGAGGCCAGGTTACCATCTTTCACTGTTTGTCATGTTTGCTGACCTGTTCCTGAGCAGTTTTCGAGGTGTAGTGATGCACGCCGTCCTGCTGGGTAAGCTTGCTGCTGTCAGGGAGTGTCATTGCCATTGGGGTGTGCTTTGTCTGCAGCAGTGTTTAAGTAGGCAATACTCATCGAAATAACACGAACATGACTGCCTGGAAGCAGCAGAACATTTTGCTAGGACATGATCATTGTTATTTACTTCACCTGTCAGTGGTTTTATGTTGTGGCTGATCAGTTTACTGCACGTCGGCAGAAGTTGCAGTACAGAAATGCCAAAGACGTGTGTGAGGTTATCCAGGAATGTGCAGTCGTTGCATAACTAGTCCTCAGAAAGCTCCAGCAAGTTTGTGTAAAAAAACCCTCAGTACATCTTTAAAAACCAAACTTAAAGCCGTGCTAAACAATACTGTTATATTACCACTGTTTGTAATGTGAAAGATTTTGATCATATGACAAACTCACAAATGATTCACACAGTTCTGCAGCTCTACTGAACTCTACTGAGCGTTTCAGCTTCTTTCAGTCTTTAACTAGTTTGGTTGGAAACGTTGCCGGTAACTGTAGCAACTGTGTTGTAGCCGCAGCCTGCAGATACTTTCTGTTAAAGCAGCTGTGTATTACCTGCTGAGCACCAAATGGCAAACTGGCAAAGCACCTAGCTGCCAATAAACTGGATATTTCCCTCAGAGGAAAACTATCGCTGCAACGTTTATAGAGGGCTTTTTTTTATGTTGGTTGTTTTTATTTACTACTTAACACATTAACATCCAGTATTAAATATCTGTCCACTTTGAGTTCTCAAAAACAGTTATAGTTCATGTAGAATTAACAGGGTGCAGAGAGCAGGGGGTGAGGGTTGAGGAGATCCAGGAAGGAGAACGGTGATGCAGGGGAGTGGAGCATGGAGAAAAGGAGGGATGAGGGTCAGTCAGATGGACAAATGGAAGTCTTGGAAGGTGATGGACGGGGAGGGGAGAGGTGGGAGAAAGAGTGGGTGAGGTAGAGGGGCTATTGTTGTCTAACAGCCTCCTCCACCTTGCTGTCATGGTTGCACTACTTCAGAGCAACCAGCTCCAGCAACCCTTTCTCTTTGTCTTTTCTTTCCCTGCCTCCTGTTCTTTTTGTTTCTTCTCCAGCTTTTTCTTCTCTGTCTTTTCTTTCTTTTCTTTGTTTCTTCTGAACAAACTGAGGAGGCTCCTCTTCTTTTTCTTGTTCTCGTGGAGCTCTTCTTTCTCCCCCTCCAGAGGTATCTCTTCCTCCTGCAGGTTGTTGTTTTCCTGCTCCAAGAACGAGTCATTTTTGTTTTCTACTTGGTCATTTTTCTCTTCCTGCCCTTCTCTGTTCTTCTGTTCTGGAACCCTCTCAGTGTCAGTTTCATGGTTCTCCATGTCCAAGTCTTTCTGCGACTCTGTCTTTTCCTCCTGCAGTACTTCCTTCTCTTTTCCATATGTCAGACTGAGGATCTCCTGTTCCCTCATGCTGAACTGCTCCTTCAGCTGATTCAGCTCTTCTTCCTTCGTCTTGATGGACTTGGTGAATCTCTGCCTCTCAGCCTTCAGGATTATGTTTAAATCTCTCAGCACAGTCTCTCTGTTTGCTACAAGTGCTTCCTTGAGGGCAACAACTGTTTCTCACTGACCCTCCTGTTTTCCTCCAGAAGCTGTGCGTTGTGCGCTTCCAGCTGCATGTTGTGCTCGATCAGCTGCTGGTTTTCCACTTTGGAAGCATCCAAGGCTTTTTGCAGCTCTGTGAGCTGGTTGGGGTGATTGCTTCGACCAACCTGGCGTCTTGGGTTAAATCTCTGAGCCATTGTTCACAAACAAAAACACTTTACACAACTTGACACTGTTGGTAGTGGTGTGTCTCCAGGAGTGAGTCTCTAGGATTTGACCATTGAGTTCACCATAATTTTCATATTTTTACCATGTGTTCTTTCTACTACTGAATAAAAAAAGCTTGATTGAAAAGAAAGGAAATAAAAAGTACACCAGGTGAATCTTGTCCTGACCGCTCTCTCTCTCTGCACCGATCTGTCTCTGCCTGCAGGTGACGAGTGTTCATCTGAACCACTGGAGGCTGGACCGCCGGCTGGGTCTGGGTCTGATGTTTCTCTATGCCATCTTCCTGCTCTGCTCCATCCTCTTCGGGCAAATGTGAGGCCTTAAGGTCAAAGGTCAACCCTGTCAGACAACATGCTGAGTACCTACCTTTCTACCACACGTCCTCTTCCCTGAAACCAAAAAAAAAAAAAACAAGACAAAGAGAGCGACAGCGTTGTTGTGTTCCTTGTGAAAATTTCTGTGCACCTCTGTAGGACTCGTTAAGGTGATTCTGTACACATGCAACCACACAAGCACACAAACACACCGCACGTCTTTTAGCACAATTTTTTTGTCCTGTTCGTACAGTGCAGTGTTTGACAGCTGTCTTTAGGTAACAAATAGGGTGACTGAGCAAAAACTGTAATGACACGTCAGGTGAAGGCAGCAGGTTCATTGGGCCTGTATTGACAAAAAAGGGAGCGACACCAACAAAAATGTGATTTAGAAAACAAAACTGTTGTACTTCGCTATTTCATTAATATTATTTTGTTAATTATAAACCGTAACTGCACTAAAAGTTCTATCCCATAATAACTTTTGCAATATATTTTCCACTTGTTTTTTTTTTTTTTTGAATAGACAATAAGTATTCTTCTGGCATTTTCTTTTCCAAAAGCTTTATTTTAAGAGATGCTCGCTCGGTTAGCAACTAGATAACAGACAAATCTGCTCATGTTTAACAACATTTCTTTAAATTAAGGCGGTACTTTCACTTTTTCATTAAAGCAATAAGTCAGTTGAGGTTTAGATTCACACTAGTTGTTATTAATTTTACTATTTATTTATATTTTTATGCTCTGAATGCTGCTGCACTCACGCAGATCGAAGTCCACGTAAAAGCAGTACAAAATATGTTTTCTCAGTTTGTCACGTCACAGATTTTTTAAATCACCCAGTCAAATTGTAAAGATTAAAAAGTATGTAGAAGTATATACAATTAGGTTTCAGAATTGTGAAATAATCAGTGTTCTGTGAAACGTTGGGTGTGTCTGATGAAGGCTGACACAGCAGCCCAATGAACCGGACCGAGTTTGTTTTAAACAAACCAGAAACAATTAGATGTGAAATTCTAAACCGTAGATACAGAATATGTTTGTCATTTTGCAGATGTAGAATAAATTAAGAATAACAGTAGATTATCTGTGAATCTCAGTTCAAGCTTATTAAACTACGCGGTGTAAAATGGTCACGGCAGAGGCAGGTGATGGTGGTGAACCTCTGCTCTCCAACAATTTGGCTCTTCACAAAATCAGTTCATCTCATCACTCTTGAGAGGATTTAAACAAGGAGACCGAGCTGTTCTGCAATTCTGGGGAGATGCATTTGCTGGACGAAGGCAGCTAGCTGGCAAACCGTAGGCTGTAGTAGGTGTAGAAACTTGTCATGAAGCAGGAGAACCACTGAATCTGATGCACTCTAGTTTATAAATGTTGTAGTGTTAGGAGGAGGGCTCATGCAAGGTGTGGCTCCAGCGTGTCATCGAACAACGATTTCTGGCCCGGTAATAAACAGTTTATCAGGGTATGTAGAAGCCAATAAAGTAATAACAGCCGATAGCATAACAACGGCCGATAACGTAATGAAAGTCCTGAACCGATAACGTGTTATCTTTTGGCCAAAAACGTAATAAGTTATTACGTTATTGGCCTGGTGAAAAAAAAAAAAAAAAATCTTTGCAAATGTAATAACTGGCCAGTTATCAGTTCAGGACTTTTGGTACATTATCGGTCAGTTATTACATTATTGGCCTACTACATTTTAAAAATTGCGAATTTATGACGTTATCGGCCGTTGTTGGCTCCTACAGGGTAACTCTACATGGTTCAGTCTTCTCACGTTTTCAGCTCGTACTATGTGTTTGGAAACACAACTCTGAATTTCCTTCACACTGACTTTAATTAAAATAACTCACTTCATGAATGTCACAGCAAGCACAAGTCATTTCTTCTCGAGTAGCTTCATTAGATCGTACCTGTTGCTGAATCCAGCACTAAATGATTCCATCAACACTAATCAGACAGACTGAGCAGCTTATGCACTGTTGTGATTTACAGTAGGCGTCTACAATAAGCCCCACTGGGTTTACAGCACACAATAACAGTCATCGTCAAAATAAGTCGAGGACCAGGACACGAGACAAGAATCATTTATACTTGGGCCTGTTCTTCAAGATAAAAAACAAACTACTAGGCCTCGTACGTTCTGAATGTGCGCCCTAGCTGACTATAACGTTCACGTGACAATATTTACACGCATTCAAATGTAGCAGGTGGCACCGAATTACAGCCAAGAAACCTCCGAACAGACAGACAGGAACTTCAGTCCAACAGCGACCGACACCACGTCTGTGTCAGAAGAGTAGAGCCGACATGAAAATGCACACGGTGGCGACGTTTCGATGCCTCACGACTTATAAGCAAGTATTGGTACAGCTTCATGTACGTAAAGAGATTAACCTAGTATTACAGTATTTTTAGAAGTCTTATTACTATGAAATCTAATATATAACGTGCTTCTCTGAGTGTCACAAATTTTGATGACTTTTAAGTGCAGGTTAGTTGTAATACTTCACGTTTAGGTACGACAATCGATGTTTGTATTGTTTCTTGTACATTTTATGAGATCGTTTCACTTTGGTGGAACATTTTTCCGTTTAGCAGACACAGAACAACACACACACACATGCATTTACAGCATGTGTGTGTGTGCATTATAGCGACTAATGATTTCTTCTCACACATAACTGCTGTTCCTCTGTTTTGAGGTAAAATAAATAACAATCCAGACACGGTCACATGATGTGGTTTTGTAGTTCTTTGGTTATTAAATCTGTGAATTCAAGACTAAATGTTCCACCAAAGAGATCAGTGTAATTTTTTTTGTTCAAATGGCTGTACAATTATTATCGTTGTCTACTCGACAATACTTTCTACTGTTTGTAAATGTTAAATAATTGACATAGTTTTACAATAATGAATGCCTGACAGAGACTAGTTTTTGTGCTGTTTTTTTTTTTTTTTGATATTTTTAAAACAATGTAAGCCTATTTGTGAATTATTGTAACAGAACGAATGCATATTTTTGTCCACGTGCTCAGCGGACTATGAAGGCTGTAACGTCAGACTCCGTTTGTTGTTTTCAGCATCGAGGTTTTTCTTTTGTTTCAGTATTGACTCGCTGACACACTCCACCGTCTTTCATGCAAGAGAAAGAAAGTACAGGTTTGAAGTAATTTAGTTTTTTTAATATTTTAAAAGTTCAGTTAGAATTTTCAAATTTGTGATTGTACTGTGATAATTCTTTTGGCCTTTTAGTGAACAATGCAGACAAAGTGGTGTTTCTTGTCGAAATTGAGTTGAAACTGCATTTATTTATTTAATAGTAAGTATTACTCATACTTATACATACTTTTTGACACAAGTTCTAAAGTGTAGATCTATTTCAGATATCCAGGCAGGGCTGTTACCGCTACAATCGGTGCATCTTAGTTGGGTTTTAGGGTGACGGACGCCCTGTTAAAATGTCAAAGCGAACAAAAAGTTAATCCTGAAATAAATGTCCACGTCCCAGATATAAAACTACACACTACGCTACACTATTCTAAGGGTGAAGTGCAGCTAAGGTTTGAGGTTTATAGTTGAACATATACTTACAAATCAGAAAGAAAGGAACAGAATCATTATTTCCTACTTTTAATTTAATGTTTTTTTTTTTTATTGCATTACCTGAGGCAGAAGTTGTCTTTTCCTATCCTCATTATCTCCGTCGTTGTTAAAACATCCTCAACAACCTCAACCATCACAGTTCGTTGTGTTTTGCCAGCAGATGACTCACAGCAGTGTGCGACGCTTATGTGTTCCTTCACTCAGCTGTCGGGAGTCTCTGCCGTTCTGCTCCTGATACCAAACAGCAGCGCCGCCCGAACAGACCAACTCCTCTACATGTTGCGGTTTCACAGCACTCAAACAATGTTCTGTTTTTTTTGTTTTTGTTTTTTTCTGCTGTAATATTGGAGGTAGAAGATATTTTAGATTTAAAAATTTACTGCTTTAGAGATTGTATTGGATCATAGAAGACTGTTCTTGTATCTTGAGTGCAATAAAAAAAAAAGTGCAATAACAACAAATCTCTTTGCTCCTGTTCTTCTGTGTGGGGAGCAGTGAATGGAAGGAGGTGCAACTGAATGATTAGAAAGAGGACATTGAGTGTGGATAGACTGGTGACCTGTCCAGGGTGTTCCCTGCCTTCACCCTAAGTCAGCTGGGATAGACTCCAGCGCTCCCGTGACCCTAATGAGGATTAAGCGGTGTATAGATAATGGATGGATGGACATTTAGTGTGTGATCGCCATCTAATGGAGTAAGCAAGAAAAAAACAACAGATTATTAGGTGATTTCTTTTCCCATGGCACCTTTGACAAGCAAGCCCATCATATGTCTGCAGCTTGCTCATGAATCTTCTTGGAGTTTCTTTGTCTATTTCTTATAAGCAGTGGAGCTAATTAACTTAAGTACAATTTTGAGGTCCTTGCACTTAAATATTTCCATTTCATGCTACTTTGTATTCTTGCTTCACCATATTTCAGAGTAAATTATTAAAACATGAAAGAATATACACAGTAGATAATATAACAAACTTTAAAAATATGTTTAATATGAAGCCAGTGGTTTCCAACATTTTTGGGTTCTGGTGTCTTAAAAAAGCGGAGTGTGACTCAGGATCACATTTCAGGTGTCTGAGTGGCTACCGGCTCCACCCAATTGTGATTTCCCCTCTTAGATTCTCTCGTTTCTATTTCAATACATGTTCAAATGATCCAATCTCTCATCAAAACTCAATGATTTGAGGAAAAATATTAAAACAAACTAGCGGATCAGAACTTTCTTTATTTCGTTTCCCATTATTCATCTAAGACAAGGGTGCCCAATCCTGGTCCTCGAGAGCCCCTATCCAGCATGTTTTAGATGTTTCCCTCTTCCAACACACCTGATTCACATGATCAGGATCGTTATCA